TTATATATATATATATATATATATATATACACAAGAATTGCTCGTTTAAAGGATAAGATATAGCTATAGAAATGCATAATTATTACAATTCAATAATAAATAAGATTTTTCACAACGTTATCTAGTCCCAAACAAAGCAAAGCTTTTACTATGGATACTGGGTCACTGATGAACATACTTTTCTTTTGTAAATAAATATAAATAATAGATATTTCAAAACCCAGACAGTAGAAAAGTACCATGTTCGCCACATAATATTTTTCCAGTAGTGGGGATCGAACCCATACCCTCTGACGCAATAGACAGGATCACTATCAACTACGTCAAATGGGTTACATTATTAAGTTTCCAGTCAGCTATGTTCCGAGCACAGTAACGGGATACAAAACCCACCAGTTAAATATAACCCTAGACAAAGTTAACGGCACGCTGTTTCCTAACATAACACGCCACATAACAAAGGTGCAATGTTTACATTCCATTTTCAAGTTATTACCGTGTACAATAAGTCTGCGAACAGCTGAGCACAACTAATTAAAACTTAATTAAACGCCGACAATAAAACACCTTCGTGCCAAAGTGGTTGCTTAAAGAGCATTGGTTTTTGAAGCTTTCTCTATTTGTGACGTAGGGAATAAAGTTCAAATAAAGTTCTTGATTTGATAACATAGTCCGTCAATGTAATATAAATGTATTATGAATCAGAATAAATTACAGTTGCTTTATTTATCACCCAATTATTTATTCATTCTTCTTTTAACATTGTCCTTACTTTAGGATAACATTATCCTGTGTTGTAAAGAAGTTTTACAAACATCAATTTCACGTGGCCAAACACCCAGATGCGAAACAACTATCTGTGGGTCACACAAATAGTTGTTTCGTGTATGGATCGAACCCACAACACCCGACGCCGAAGTCAATACTATGGCAACTGCGCCACGGTGTCATAAAATCATTTCATCATCATTTTTTATTCACTGCAATTTTGATTCAGATTTTTTTTAAAATAGACACTAACTTAACCGACGTATGAAGTAGCTTCATATTAAAAACACGTTTGAATGACGCACAGGGGCGGTAACTTTAACCTTCTATATTTAGTTAGTTTTATGTGGAAAGCAAAGATATAACGATAAGAATTATGGCACGTTCCACTCAGGACTTCGGATCGCTCTCAAGCCGAGGGGACTTGAGGGATGCTCCGCAAAGCTGTTCGCCCTGAAAAATAGTAAAAATCAAGACACGTTCGGGCGCTGGCGACTCGTGCTCTTGTTAGAGAAACTTAAATTTCTATATTTTGTTGTTATTCAGTGCCTATTCACTTTCTAAATCTAAAAAGGTTTATCTTAATCAAGTTTAAAAATAAGGAGGTATAAATTTTCAGGATTTTCTCTCAGTATAAACCTTTAACCTAAACGTTTTAAACACCTTAGTACCAAAAGTTTACGTACGAAGGCAGGATGATAAGTAACTAGCCACTGCTATTTAAAAAGTTTAAATTAAAAAAATATATATATGTCATTTTTAAATTTGTATCTCTGTCCATCTGTGTTCTAAATTTGAATTTGGTGGCGTGAAAATTGATATTTTGTCATTTGAAAATATATTTCGTCCAGCGGTGATAAAATTTCTTCATTAGGTTCAAGGGTATGAAACAGAAAGATACCTATGACGAGTTAAAGAATATTTTGGGTGAAAATGCTCCTTCTTATGCCACAGTAAAAAACTGGGTGGTTGAGTTTAAAGGCAGTTCGTACATGTGTCGAAGATGAAGCCTGCCCCGGACGTCCAAAAAGCGTCACGACTCCGGAAATGGTCGTGAAAGTACATGATATGGTTTTTTAGCAGATCGACGATTGAAATTATCTGAAATAGCTGACACTACAGGTATCTCAAAAGAACGGGTACATCATATCCTAAATTAATTATGAAAAAGTAATCGGCCCGTTGGGTGCCGCGATTGCTTACGCACAATGGAAAAAGGATTCGGGTGCAAAACTAAAAAGAATTTCTGGACAACTAAAAAGAATCTTCTGAATAATAAGGTCGATTTTTACGTCGATTTGTAACAACAGATAAAACATGGGTTCATTATTAAACGCCAGAATCAAAAATTCAATCAAAACAGTGGACTCATTCGGGATGCCCGAATCCAAAAAAAGCCATGGCTGTAAAATCGGCTGGAAAATTGATAAGCCATCACTTTTGCCGTCTTTTGGGATGCAGATGGGATCTTGATTACCAAATACCTACCTTCGATAGATTACCTTCCTAAAGGTCAAACAATTAATGGAGAATACTACGCCAATCTTCTAGATAAGCTTCAATGTATATGGAAAAAACGACCAGGTTTGGCGAAACAAAAACATCTTCCACCAAGACAACGCCAGGGTTCACACATGTGTTAAAGCTATGACAAAAATCAGCGAATTGAAGTATGATTTGCCCCACCCACGTTATTCGCCTGATCTATCGCCATCAGACTTCCATTTATTCCCTAAGCTCAAAACGTTTTGGGCGGACAGAAATTTGCCACAAATGATGAAGTCATAGCCGCTGTAGAGGAGTATTTTGCAGGCCTCAAAAGAAATAATTTAATGGAAGGCATTACTGCTTTAGAACGAATATGGAATAAGTGCGTAGAGGTTCACTGAGACTATTTCGATAAATAAAATTAATTTTATCACGGAAAGTTAATTGTTTTCTTATTAGACTAGTAACTTATCATCCCGCCCTCGTATCAAATAGAATTAATCTGAAATATATTAATTTTCTCTTTGGATTTTACTATGTATATAATTCTGGGCGTCTTCTTTCTCCTGCACTTATCTCACCTTTGTGGGGTCGGCACAACATGTGACAATAATAATGAAGTCTTTATTCATCGGTAACTGCTGGCGCCATGTCTGATAAGTAATTACATAAAATGAATGCATAAACATCATGTATCCAAAAAAAAGACATATATATGTTGTGTATGTTTTTAGAAGTCATATAATTCCTCTATCATTTCATAACTCTATTATTTCGCGATTGGACCGAAACTGGATATAAATTGGACATAATTCTGAAAAAAAGATATATGGAGGAACACCTTGCTTGAATGGAGTCCCTTTCGCTGCATACAATGTATTAAATAACATGCACAATCAAATTTAATAAACAGCGTTTAACTAATATTTGCAAAGACTTTAAAGCACAGCTATTTTTAACCGCTGCTTCAACAAAGTTCTTGGCAAAATCGAAGTTATGTTATTTACCGACTCATACCTCCCGTAGGCCGCGTGGAAGCATTTTATTCCAATAAATTAATAAGTCTAGACTAATCCCTGTAAGTTTTAAGTGCATAAAGGTAAACAAATTACTTAGCCGACTTTGCCGAGGGTCTTTACGAACGATCACTCTATATGTATGAGCGTTTCGCACTCAATGCAATTACCTAAAAGCGGCATCTGAGCGGTCGGGAGCTGGCGTAAACATGATAAGGTAACTGAGAAGGCTGCAGGGACGAAATTATACTAAAAAGCGCCCGACAACCACTAGAAGGTGTGTTAAATATAAATGAAATACAATGATTTTAACCTGTAATTTCAAACCTTTTTTTAACCATAATTAAAACACTCAAGGGCAAGTTATAGAACTTTATTAGTTATTAGGCCCTAGTGAACGCGAACACATACAAAATGAATATTTTAAACCTAATCAAGGTAATAAGAACAGCAATATCATATTTAGCAAAACTTTTACAGATTACAAAAACGTACAAGTCAGTGGCCCGCTTGCTTATTTTTCCATAAAACAAATAACGTAATTACGTATAAAAATTCTTCTACAAAGCAATACATCGAATAATAGAGCGAAACATTCATATCACATCAACCTATATGGAATTTTACGTTCCGACATGAAATATCAACACGGGCGTCAAAACGTGTGCGCAATAATCTCAGTGTTTCGCATCTGCAAAATGAATTTAAATGGAGTCTCATTCTACATAGAGAATTATGCCATTAGAATTATGTCGTCTCGGGCCATATGTGTACTTATAAATACACTGAAATTTGACAACTAAGTTTTAAAATTATTCCAAATTCTTTCGCTTTTTGTCGAACGTACGAGTAGATAATAACTGCCCCAGCGAACTATGACCCTAAACACGCAACAATGGTTAAATATAACGAATATTTTAATCGGCTAAAGATGATGCAAACGCGGCCGGGGCATGACCTATATAAACATAGCCTCATGGCTCTAATAATTGCATGAATGCCCCGACTCGCTCGACAAACTGCAGAAACACGTCGTGACGTCGTCAAAGCGTCGAAAACTTCTGCGGCTCATCCCATCAAGTAACAGAAGGCACAGTCTCTTGTCTTCTAAATGTAAACTGGTGCTCGTAATTGATAGAGCAGCGGCGTGGACAAGTCGTGTCCATCTTTCCATCAACACGAGTGCTGAAGCATGAGGAAACCGCTGCAGAGCTACATTCACTGCCTACCAGTACATCATATTCCCAACAGAAGCGATGTAGTCCGCAGGAAAGTCAGCAAATCAGGCGCTGAATCCGTTTGCTTATATAAAAGGCGTGGATTACATATCACGTTTTAGCATTCGTCTGGTGCGGGCGAGGCCTTAGATAAAAGCGTCGATAGGTGCGCAGGCGAATGGCGTCACGAGGCGACGCGGAGCGCGTCACCCGGCCAGCTGATCGCGCCGTAAACAAATCATAGTAGCGCCCACGCCCCCCTCTTACCCCCCCCCCCCCCTCGCCACGCCGGGCAACACATTTATCTATCGCGCGCCGGACGTATCTATACATCTGCCTGTGGAAACTGCACGCGTGTTTTTATCGGCCTGAATAAAATGGTTTATTACGCTATTTAGAAACGCGCTTAGCAGCGTTTCGAAAGAGTTGTATGGCTGAAGTGGTTAGTTGGTTCTCAGATACTGAGATAAGCGAAGAATCGAACCATCGATAAGTAAGAAAAGTCGGCCTATTGCGACGCTTCGACGGACGCCGTATCCGTTGGGATTCCGCTGCGCGCCGGTCGACGTTGATTCGATTCCGCTTCGAAATTGGCCGCAATATAGTCATTAACACCGGGGTCAAACGCGACTTGCGACAGGCGTGTCGCCGACGGCCGTTTGCGTGTGACACGTGACGCGTCGTGCGGTTGACGCGGTCGACCGCGGTTGTATCGAGACCAATGTTTGACGTGACGCATCGCCGTTGTGTCCACATCCGTGTGGTAGGCGGCGGTATATCAGTACAAAATATTTTAAAAGCGTTTAAACTGGATCGAAATTCAGTAAATTCGTATACCCCTTATATTTTATACCAAGTACATGACCAAGAAATGGAATAATCACTATAATCACTACATCACTACATAGTATAAAACAATGTCGTATGTATGCTTAGATCTTTAAAACTACGCAACGGATATTGATGCGGATTTTTTACTAGATGTCAATAATACTGTTAAATGTGTGATCCGTTTAAGTGATGATTTAATTGGAACAGATTCTACACGAAGCGGTCTAACTCTATTATACAATATTGAAAACTGGCTGTGGCCGGTTTCATCAAGACGAATTGTCACAGAGCACTGTCGATAGCTCACTACGTCAACATCTAAGCACATGTGCCTCCACGAAGCGTGCTTATTGCGAACCCAGCCTATGAGTCAAAGAGCCAAATTTGCATACCTTTAAGGCACCAATATCACCTAGGCAATCACCATATAAAAATTTAAATTCATTGGTAACAGGCTCATTACAAAATATACAAATACTAGCGACCCACCCCGGCTTCGAACGGGTAATGTATTATACATATAAACCTTCCTCTTGACTCACTAAACTCTCACAAAAAAAAAACATCAAGACACGTTGCGTAGTTTTAAAGGTACCTAAGCATACATAGGGACAGACAGACAGCGGGACGACTTATACGACGGGCGTACATTTTAGGAATTCAACATTGTGACCCGGGTGGGAAATTCAACTTTTTGCGACTTCAACATTTTGGGAGTCAACATTTTGCGAATTCAACACTTTGCAAATTGAACATTGTGGTCCTGAAGGGTTTTAAACTAATATAACTATTTTAAACTAGTGATGTACGTGAGCAGTCTTTTCCAGTTTGTTGACCACAGTAGTCTTTTCCAGTTTGTTGACCACAATTTGTTGTACAGGTGTGTGCACAATTCTTTATTACGACTTGTAATTATTTTTAATTTAGTGCAATAAACTGCCTGTCTGCCTGTTGTACCATTAACACATTAAACTAGAAAATTAATAAATAAAATAAACAACTGAACTAAACGACGACTACTGGCAGCATATTTCGCCGCGTTAAAAAAACGATATAGGCGTTACTAATGTGCGGCACACCTGCACCGGTCACCAGACGGGACGCACCTGCGCGGACCGCAGTTGGAACAACTCGGTTCGAGTGAAGATTATACCAACTCAAGCGGCTGCACAAATTGCAGCCAGTTGGACATGATTTAAATTTTCATTATGAATTATATTATTATTACCAACACACATGTAGCACAAAGCTGGCTACTTGTTGAGCTGGTTATTTTGTAAACAATATTTATATAAAGATTCTATTGTCTGACATTCCGCTTTGTGCTTCCACACGGAACGGACGTTAATCTGAGCCGGAGGGCCCATGCCAACCGACCCGGAAGCCATCTTGCAACCGTTGTTGCTAATATCATTTCTTTTATCTCTTGGTGTGCACTGCTTGCCTCATCGTTGTCGTGTTTCGCGGTCTACGGTTAGGGAAGTCTCAAGCAAGAAGAGAGAAGAAAAGTTATAGAAGAAAGAAGAAACGTTACAGAAGAACGAAGAAACTTTGCCCGACTTCCGAGCGGATAGTGTTAGTGTAGTGTTGTGCTCGTAGGCAGGTTCCTGTCCGTAAGTAGAATTCTACACACATTTCTCGTCTCAGAGGCGGCATTGTAATTTTTACCTGTGTGCTTGTTGCATTAGGCGACCGCTAGGTACTCACCCTAGCGCACCTAAAGCGCAGGCGATTAAAGGTTAATTTTAGGCACACACCTCCCTGCCGCAAGGTGGGGAGGCCTATTTAGAAAACACACGCCGGCGGGGCGCAAGCCCCAAAGGCACAAGCGTCGTCATGGGTTCCCTCTTAGAGGAGTTCCTTCGACAGGAATGCCCCGAAGTATGGGCTAAATATTTAAGTTTCGCGAGGGAACGACGCCTTGTCGTCGAATTCTCCAGCGACAGTCCGGTTTCACCGGCTGCCGCCTCGCCGCCATCTCCGGTGCCCTCTGCGCCAGCTATTGTGTCGCCCTCTGCGACAATTGATACGCCCGTCGCGTCGACTTCCGCCGCCGCGAAAGAACCCAACGCGCCTTCCGCGCAAACCATTTCGGCCCCCTTCCGCGCTGTCGTTCCCGACTCACAATCGGACGGCGGCTCAGACATGGAGGTCAAAACGACCCCCGCTAACAACGCGAACGCCGACGGCTTCACCGTCGTCAAATCGCGAAAAAAGGGCAAGAAACGCCCCGCTACCGACAGCGACCCCGAAAGCGAGGCCGCCCCGTCAAACCGTCCCACCGCGACGCCCGCCAAAAAGGCAGCCGCGTCTGCCCAGTCGGAATCGACATTCGCCTCCGAGCGAAAAACCAAGCCACCGCCGCCAATAATAATACAAGATAAGGCAAAGTGGCACCAGGTTTGTTCGTGGTTTGAACGCCACAACATCCGAGACCCCCGGTCCAAGAATACGCATATGGGTATCCGCGTATACCTCGATTCTTCGGACGACTTCCGTAACTAAGTACTTGCGCGAAGCTAAGGTAGGTTTCCACACCTACTCACTACCCGAAGAGCGTAAACTTCGGGTCGTAATTAAGGGCGTCCCAAAAGAGTCGGATGTCGATATGGCTAAGGTCGACATCCGCACTCAGGGATACCCGGTTCACGCCGTGCGTCGTCTCAGGCACCCTCGCACCCGTGTCCCTATTGACATGGTCATGGTGGAACTTGACCCTACCCCGGAAGGTAAGGCCATTTTCAACCTTAAGAGGGTCTGTGGGCTCAGTGACTTAGTCATCGAGCCCCCACGTAAATCAGGTGTTGTGGAACAGTGCCACAACTGTCAACATTTTGGCCACACGGCCAATAACTGCTTCGCTCACCCAAGGTGCGTCAAATGCACCGGTGACCACGGCACAACCGAGTGCACGAGGCCGAAAGATTGCGCAGATCCACCGGACTGCGTAAGCTGTAACGCCACCGGCCACCCGGCTAGCTACAGAGGCTGCGCTAAGGCCCCGAAAACTCCCGCGAGGAAATCTCCCGCGAAATCGGCGTTGCCCAAACCCGCGCCCGTTAGATTCATTCCCGCGCACCGTACCCGTCGTAAACGCCTGGGCGAAACCCCAGGTGGCCGCGCAGGTAACCGCGCCGGTAATCCCGGTCGCCTCACGACCCACCGCGGCCGCAGGTGCAGCCAATTTCGTCAGTTTTCGCGGAAAACAAGGACGACCCATTCGCGCAAATAGCTAATATCTGCAGCTTTTTAGATAGAATCAATAGGCAGGAACTCGCCGTATTGTCCGCTAAAATAGCGGCCGCCACATCTGGCCACGAGCGTCTTAGGGCAATTAGCCAACACAAAACGCTTGTGGAAGCCCTTTGGGCTTTTACGAGCCAACCGTAAAAAAACAATAGTCCGCGCAATAAAACCGCGCTCCGCCGCGTCGTTAATTAGACCCATAAAAAAAACACCTTAATGGGAAGTACAACCGCAGGTAGAACAAAACCTCGGGCTCTGGTTGTTTCGTATTTCAACGCAAACGGCATAAAGGGTCAAAGGGATGAAATCGCGGAATTCCTTCGCGATTATAACGTAGATATTTTCCTAGTTCAAGAGACATTCTTGAAACCTAGTGTACGCGATCCCAGAATCGCAAATTACAATATTGTCCGCCACGATCGGTTAGCATACCGTCTGGGAGGCACACTAATTTATTATAAACGGTCCTTGCACTGTTGCCCGCTCGACATTCCAGAGCTAAGTCAAATAGAGGCATCCGCGTGTAGGTTAGCGCTCACCGGCCACAGGCCGCTTGTACTAGTCTCAGCCTACCTCTCGGGGAATAGAACCCTCCTTCAAAGCGACCTAGATACGCTTCTTAACTTAGGCCCTTCCGTGATAATTGCAGGAGATCTAAACTGCAAACACGGCTCATGGGACATCAACAGCATCCCAAACAACAACGGATAGCATCTCTTTAGCTTATCCGATAACCTAAATTTCAGTATAGTCGCTCCCGCGACTCCCACTGGGTATCCTACGGTGGACAACTACCAGCACGCGTCACCGAGTGTCCTAGACATAATGTTATTCAGGGAGGTCTCGCTCGACATCGAGTCGATAGAGACAATCCATGAACTAGACTCAGACCACAGGCCCATCCTGTGTAAACTGGGCCAGAACGCCGGCGCGGTCCTTCCGACCAAATCCGTAGTGGACTGGCATCGTCTTGAGGTCAAACTCAAGGCCTTGGACCCCCAGGACTTAGTAGACTTAACCGAGACGATAGCTACGTTCGATGACGCAAATCGAGCGATAGCGAGTCTCCGTGAAACTATTACTTCCGCAGTCACAGACTCGGAACGGACGGTGAAACTGTCGGGCGACCGACGGTTTAACTTTCCGCCCGACCTACGACTGCTAATTAGACAAAAAAATGCAGCTAAACGCGCCTTCGACCGATACCGATCGGAATCGAACCGAACTCTGCTTCGACGCCTTCAGCTAGAAGTCAAAGATCGTGTATCGGAACACCGACATACAACGTGGGACACTCTCCTAGAGGACATCGAGCCATCGCACACCGCCTACTGGCGGTTGGCCCGCAGTCTGAAAGCAGACCCCCGCAAATCTCTACCGCCGTTAGTTAGACCTAATAGCGCTTCAGTAGCCCTAGATGACTCCGAAAAAGCCAAATGCCTTGCGGACAACCTAGAGCAGCAATGTACGCCATCGCGCGAACACACCGATTCGGCCCACCTAACGGAGGTGGACCGCGTAATCGAGACTAGGGCTGCGCTTCCACCGGAAGGCGAACCTTTAAATTCAGTGACCCCCGAAGAGGTCCAAAATATTATTAAAAATTTAAAACCAAAATCCGCCCCGGGCCCAGATAATATAAGTAATAAGATTCTCAAAGCT